TTTGAGTATTTATTTATAATACAAACATATTGTTTCTATTTGTACAGATTTTATTAATACTAATATGTAATTATATATATTGGGCATTAGTTTTATTAGTACATATTGGATCACCTATTGTGCTCAGTTTATCAATCAAACGTATTATAGTTTGTAGAAAAGAATTAACCGACGAACCATCAGTTACCGTTCTCCAAGTGACATTTTTTTTGTACTCGCTTGAGATTAAACTCACTCGTGTGACGTAGGCACAACTCTGAGATTGGATCTCAGCGGAATATTCATCAGTTTCTCGTCTTATTCATGGCAAGTGCTTTACCGCCGAGTATATTTCTGTTTGGTAACCATACGCTTGTATATGTTCGTGCGTGCCGTCGTCGCGTCGAAAACAAGCCAAGAAGTTTTGCGCTGTAAAAGTGAAGGTCAAACGATTCGCGTACGCGAGCCGATTTCGTAATTATTATTTTCCCGTTCCTCGATTTATGTTTCGTCTCGGTCGCATTATTTGATCAGGCCCACGCGTGTTTGCGGTATTTTACCCGGGATCTCTCTTGATTATGTAATGATAATTATTGCGATCGATAATTATCCATTGATACATTTATTAATTTCGTTATTGACAGTGGGCGGATGTTTGTCGGTGTCGCGAGTGGATTGCAGGAGCTCGTCGAACAATATTCCGGAGTGGTCTAAATGCGATCGTTAGAGTAGCTTTTAGCGTGATACAGAGAGTTCATTGCTCCATTTACACCGTCGTTCTCTCGCTCGTAAAAGCGAGATCCTCATCCTCCCGTCTCATCGCCAGTCATGTATATAAACTATGTTTATTTCTACCGGTGATATGAATCCGCGATTCGCTGTGCATACTCTCCGTGCGCAATCTGCCTTTCAGCCGAAGACATATTCATCCAACGTTCTCCCGCGGCACGTGATTCACTCACGTGCACGAAACGCTTTCACTGTAAGGAGGATATAACAAGCGCGTAAACATCGTATTATCGAGAAAAACGGCGTTCCTTCGATTAGGAGCGATCGCTTCCGTCGTGCGATGATTGGTCGAAATCGCTCACACACGATGACGAATATGTATATTACGGGCATTTCCTGTGGGGGGCAGGTCCGCATTTATAAACTGCGCACTTGGAACAGTGTTGAGTATATTCGTGTATATGTAAGAGCGCATTTTACAATTCAAATTACAGCATTATCGGTTACGGCAGCTATGTACGTGCATGTGTCCGTGTGTGAGTAAGAGGTGTCATCACGTATATATATCGTCTCACGGTATCTCAATAAGGCAATACTGTCTTATTACACTTGTGCGAGATACATTATTCTTTAGCGATCGGAGTCCTAGAACTACCTTAATTTTAAAGAAACACTTTTTCGAACAGTTTGGAGTCGATCTTTTCTAGCTGAAATGTCAAGATAAAAGTTATTATTATAGCGTTATCTCGTTGTTTTGTTGCCTCACACACACTGTTAAATATTAATGGATGAAATTTAAATCAGTACTTAAATGAAATAACATTTTATTATTTTCAACTACCATGTGTGTCGAAATTGATTATTTTAACACAAAATAGTATTATTTAACTTCACTTGTTTAGTTAAATTAACGACATATTGGGTAGGAGCAGTGACGACCTATGGCAATGGTTAAAAATGACTCAAATTGAGTATAATTTGACACTACGAATTTAACAATGCATAGCTGTTTTGCAAGTCAAGCGTACGCTCTTTAATTTTATGCAGCGACATCGTTGGCAAAAATTAAATTACGATTGCACCAAATCTCTATAGATTGCAAATATTATACGGTCTCGTGTTTCTGTTAAGCAGTCGTTTAATTAAGATGTCATTGCTATTACGGTGTGCCTATCCTTTGTGTGTACAGCGTTTCTGATGACAGCGCCGCTGTTTGTCTTAGGTTAGCGACACGGTGTTCTTCGTTCGTTCTGTTTAATTAATATTTGTTGGCCCGCAAACGCAGAGGTGTATCACGTGCGGTAGTAGAACAATCCCCACGAGTCTCGGTCGCGCGTCGCGTCGCGTCGCGTTGTCTTGTAGTTGCGACTCCTGCACACGGAGTTACGGATATCTGCGCGTTCTCGCAGCATCGTCTCGCAACGCCTCATCGAGGTGTTATTATCTCGTTGCTATTATTTTAAAAACAATACGTTGCAACACGATTAAAAAGATGGGTGTAGCGTGCTGGTTTAACGATACATTAAACCCACATTATATTTCGACCTTCATCGAAGTAATTCCGCTTTAATGCCGCTATTATACTCGACTTACATGCCGACGCTATTTCCGCCGGGTTACACGTGGCCTCCCGCGTACAAGCCCGCGCAATAAACACTCGAGGCAGTTTTTCTCTCCCTTCTTCGTTACCTTCGACATTACGCGGCAGTTCCCCCCCGTGTTTCACCTCCGCATTTTTCTCACAATATCGCGCCTTACTGCGCGAAATGTATGTTATTACGATCGTAATTCGCGATTGATGAAATTGTCATTTACTCGAAATCCTTAGGATCGATAATCCCAAGTCCAGGTGAACGTTCAGGTTGAGGATTGCTATACCGTCGGCGTCGGGAGATTTCAAAGTTGACTTTCCATCGGCAAAAGTTTCATACGAAAGCCGCCGCAATACTTTATCCTTCAATTTTTCTTTTGGTATCCTCAAAATTTAATTTTACATTAAAATTCAACGAAGTTAAGAATTCTTCGACATAATGCGATGTAAATTTTTCCCACGGAATATCCAGAAGCGTGATGTGATTACGTGCGAACGGATAAAAAATTCTGTTGAGATAAAATTCTATGTTGTGTTACAATCGACCTCGAGCTTGTCCATTAAGCCCTCGATGTAACTTTGATGAACGTTCACGTCGACGCGACGGTGTTTCGCGATCGAACATGCGGAATCCTTCCACGTGCACGATGCGATTGTTACCGCGGATCCTCCCTTCGGGGTCCGCCAATAAATTTTTCTAGTTAACAGGCCGCCAATTGCGAACCGAAGAACACACCGATTCATCCCTCGGGGATTTGCCTCGGCAGACCGATATCCGCCGATAAATTTCTAGCTGTCTCATTTGAGGAGATACTCTATCGTTCACTAGGAGAAATGCAAACAGAGTTAAAATAAAAGACAAACAGAAGCCGCCGCGGATAATGATACTTGGCCTTGGATTGATATAAAGCGCCCGTGGAAGAATCTGTCGTTAAAACTTGATTAGATCGTTTTATTCTGGGATACCCTACATCAAAGTGACAGACAAAACTCCGCGTTATTCAACTTTGTTGAATCGAGATAAACTGTGACGGCTACCATGCGGATAGTATTGCTCATACAAATGTGACAGAAATCGTTGCGGCGTATCGCGATATCGCAACAAAGTGCGACGCGAATTTCTACGCTTTTATATTGCGGGACATAAAGTTTTGGTAGCGCGTTTCCGTTTTTTGTCATTTGAATTTCAAATATTCCACGCCGGTGTCGAGATACGGCTGGGGAATGCCGCGGCAGCGTTTCCTTTTTGCAACGATATTTCCCTTCATCTTAGCTTTCCTTTCTCGATTACATAGACTTTTGTAGATTGGATGTTGAGCTTAACGCTTTTCCATGCCGGATATTATATTTCCTTAGAAACGGCCTGAATTAAAATCGACAATTTAAAAATGACGCATTGAATCTCCGCGCTTGTCGAACCTCGCTTTTCGTTTATAAAAACACGACGATGTCATTTTTGTGAACGAACGACAAATTAATAGCGGCGACTGTGGACCACTGTGCAACGTCGGCCGTCGCGTTCACGCGCTCTTGTGTTGCACAGTGCATATTAATGAATTCCTCTCTTCGCGCCCCACGCGTCAAATTAGCCGAGCGATAATCATTACAAACGCCACTATGCGCCATTCACTGGCAAACGAATCTATCGCGTGCGCGAGACGAGCTCTCCGAAATGATTCTCTTTGAGAACGTAACGAGTGACCCGCGGGCGCTTTGTCGCGTTGACGCGCGAGAGCGCAGCTCATCTGCGCTGTGTGGTGCATTGCTTACCGCAACGCGCGTTTCACTGTTGTTCAATGGACGCGCGAGCGCGAGTTTTCGCGCTTTCAAAAGCACCGTTTACAGATGTAACAAAAGGCTCCCCGGCGTCACAGACTGCGATTTCATTCAGCACCTCGCCATAATCGTTGGAAATGCTCGATAAAAGCGATACAACATCGGCATATTGATGACAGGCGGTATGGTCTGACAAAGCGCCGCGCGCGGAAAGAATTGCCTGCCGTTGAAACACTTGTCATCTTTATTCGTAATCGTGGAACGGACACGTTACGTCTGGCGTACGACGAACCGTACGATCGTATATCAGCGAGATCGAGTTATTAACACGAATGAAGGATGACATATTTACGATCCTTACATGCGAAGGCGTTCGTGCCTGCATTTCTGACCAACGGAGTCCTTCAATCCTCACGTGTAATTGGATTACGTAACGTTTCTCAAGGCTGGTTCTGACGTCTTATTACCAATAAAAAAAAATGGCAGTTAGCGGAGGAAATCTGATCTAGTAATGAATATCGGTGAATGATAAATTCTAATAGTTAGAGAAATCTTTAACGCGCTTGACGGCTTCATTAGATAATCGTTTCGCCGATTATTTGACTACCTCGGCTATGATTATTCTCGAGTTTTTGAAAGCGTAACGCGACTATAGTGCGACGCGCATTGGATGTGTTCAGCGGAAAAGACAGCTTAGTAAGCGTTCAATGATTCTTTATTACGATTGGTTTCTACACTTAGAACCGAAAGCAAGAACCAATCATATTAAAGAATCACTGAGTGCTCACTGAGTTGCTCTTTCCGCTGAACGCAGCCAATGTTTTGTAGATAAGTTGTGGAAGTTGTTCGGTCGCAACTTGGCATATGCGCAAGCTTCACTATCTCGATACGTAATATGCCAAGCTTTCGTATCGCCGGAGGATAGGAGAGGATGTCGCGGTCGCGCGTGCAGATCCTGAAAAATGACGCTCTGACCAAGGCGGACGCGTCCGCATGAAATGTCTAAGTGTGCGTGAAATCGCGTCGTCAAGAATCCGCTCGGAGCTCGTCAGAAGCGCGAGGATCGGTGATGTCCGGCCGGCGAGTGATACGCAAAGACATCGGTCGCGACGACGCGTTCTGGTGACGTGACCGGCTACGACCGGGAGTGGAGTGTGCCGAGAATGAGCAGTCTCCAGGTACCGGAGCTCCGGCTTCCGGTGGACGGCGACGGCGACGGCGGTGGTCCCGGCGGCGGTGGTCTCGGCGGCGGCGGTGGCGGCGCGACGAAGGGCACCGTCCCCCTATTGCTAGTTCCGCCGAGCAACGTGCCGAGGAGACGACATTCTTGGATTTGCGGGTGAGTATACATAAATCCGGACGCCATCCGGGATAGCGGGAGTTTGTTAGGGAAACTGTACGGAGGGAAATTATTAATTAACCACTTAACATGCGTCCCATGCGACCACATGCGAGCTCGGATTCCGGGTTTATTCGCGCACGTTCGTCTCTCATGTGCACCGTGCCGAATTTGTTTTATACACTCTGAAATGTTCCAGCGTTAACTCCTCCGTCGAGCTCACTCCGGCGAGCTGATGTATCTTGCGGATACTCTCGCTCGTCGAATCTAAATTAGATCCAATAAGGTGTGCTGCAGATAGTGATACGCCCATTATGCAAATACGACAGTTCTATGTATCGTAATCAAATGTATATAGATTGTTTGAACAATGTATGTCGTTACGATTCAATACCAAGAAGTATTAGATAGTAGATATCTTACGATAACTGTTATTCACTAAGCTAACTGTTACACGTGCTAATTATCTGTACAAGACGTATAAATTATAAACTGTTATAAATTGTTTATAACTGAAGAGAAAGAAGAAAAGGTTTCCAGTTTTAGAAATTAAAGCTGTTACTTCATCTCTTAGTTCTTAATAATAATTTATGAGAAACAGCAGAAGAAAAGAGAAAACCTTTTACAAGGAAAGTCCTTTTGGAAGGTCCTTTTTCTACTCTTCTTTTTTTTAACGTGTAAACGAACAATTTATTATTGTGCGTCTAATAAAAACTTTTTAAAACATAATGTTTTTGCGAAAAAAGTGGAAATATTGTTTAAAAAATCAGTTTTTTATGATTAACTTTTGAATAAAAACTAAATTTAATCAACGTACGCCAAACATATAATTTAAACTTGTCTCCACAGAAAATACATGCGCAAGCATAGTGATCAAGTTTTGGCTATTTGGATCTAACTAGTAGGTATTTTGGTTCCCTCGGGATCTTTAATTTGGGATAATTGTACGTACAGCGGCGGTTTCAGACTGGGGTGTCGCTACAATTTCGAGAAGTTCGCGCGAGAATAGCCGCGTCGTTTTAAATAGAGTCAAAATTAAATGATAGACTTTCTCATGACTGGTGCTCTCCTTTTAATTCTCGTTTAGGTTAACATCTGATGTAAAGTTTCCACGCTAAGCAGCTCCTCAACCTTTGAATTCTGGTAGTAATTGAATAGTTTGCTCGCGTCTTACCTAATTCATTCTGCGCGTAAACACAATTGCAAAATTTTATTTGCAATTGATTATTGCATAAATATTCCGTGTTGCCGTTAACGAAGATTTGTGTAAAATGCATCGAGAATGATGGCGAACGCGCGTCATTATCCACTAATTGGTTTCATTGCTGCTGTGTGTTCATTTAATTTTTTCCCGCATTCTACACAAAGATATTTGCATATTAATTTCTCCGTATTTTGTTTTTACTAAAACGCAAAGTTGACCGGCGGAAAGTTACGCGCGTCATTGAAATACGCAAACTATGTCCCGTTGCATACATTAACTTTAAATTAATATTATCAAATTAAATTTATTCAACAGAAAAGCGTAAAATCAAGATTTTTAACGGGTCATTCTTTACGCTTGATTATGTTTAAATTAAAAACTTAAACGGTATACGGTAATACGGAGAAAATCTTTTTCTGTTGACCCTATTAAGATCTTCCTTTTTCAGAGAAGGAAGAAAATTCTTTTATCTTTTCTTTCCTGTCATCGCCAAGCGGTGCCGTTTTATAAGACTCTTAAACACACCAAAGATACAGGTATTACGAACTATACTTGCTGAAAATAAGAAGGAAGTACGCCCGTGTTTTTCTTCCGGATAGTCATTAGAGAAGGAGCACGATCGTGTAGACTGCTATGGTTTCATTAAATTAATCCACTTGTGTCCACTAGCGCTAGTATTTTCTGGCTGCTCATACTCTGCGACGCGCGACGTGCGCGCTCTATCTTGGGTTTTCTAATTACTTGACGTATAGCACCGAGTTTTTCTTAGATTTTTATGCGCGCATTGAAACTTTCGTACGTTATAAAACTGCAGTTTCCGTACACTGTAAAGGTACTTCGTTACGTGGTTTCTAATTTTTACTGTTATTTTGCCGCGAGAACGTACGTACAATACCTAACATCAGTGGCTTAGGGAGGCAGAGAACAATACGTGGGCTCGTAAATGCGCGTAAATGGCATGTGCAAATGGCCCCGCAAAAGGTGAGTCGCGTCATCAGACACATTTGTACAAGGCGTTCGTATAGCGATAACAATTGACTATTAATACCCTGGTCGCACGCCACGCAGCGTTAGACTCCTGCGCGACTTTCGTGCGGTAGTGGATTGCTTTCACGATTTACATGATTACACACAATGTAGGTACATGTAGAAATTATTATTTAACAATTTCCATTTTGTACGTCGCGAGGTACCTGACAGAAAAATTAATAGTCCGTCTTTGCATGCGTCTTACATGCAAAATTGAGAGATAACGGTGACAAACTAGTTAGGACAGGAAAAGTGTATAGCTTTCCTCATGCGAAAATGACTATTATCTTATAATTTAATTCCAACATGATTCTCCTCTGTCCTATAACAAACGCGCTTGTCTTATCAAGGCAGCAAACTGCGTCTCGCAAGAGATTGTATATCCTCTTTTTTTTTCTACGCTGCAGGGATCTATCCTCTCTCGTGTGAAGAAAGGAAAACAGAGCTTGCCAGAGGTGAATGCCTCCAAATTGCATTTTCCGCCAACACCTGCGCGAGCTAGGAGATCCGACCGGGAGAGAATCCGGTTATTAAAGATCGCGATGCAGCTTGCACCTTCGTTCCTTTTCGTTCGCGTTTTCTTCCATCGTTCTCATTGTCTGTAGCGGAAGATAATATAAATGACGTATCATATATACTTTATAACGTTCGTACCAGACGTTCAATGTTTTCATTGAGAAGCGTCAGAGATAAAAATTGGAGGAATTGATTTCTAGGACTATTTTCCTTCTTATATCACGAGAAAAACTAGAAATTAACTATGTATGTGATATTTATTTGTTTGATAAATCCCCTTGTCTATTATTCGTTGAAATCAAAGAATTTGTAATTAAAACATTTATTAATGCATTTAAATTTCCAAAAATTTTGTTTTATCGAAAGTAAGCACAATACATCGTTTCTCATATGCGGATAAAATAATTTTTGGTAAATGAGTAAAATAACACAAGTTTACAAGACAGAAAATAGAAATATTTATTAGATTAATCTTCAAGATCAAATATCATAAAATTACATTACATAAACATAATTTTCTTTTGTTTTTCCCGGTCTTTTGTCAAAGATTCACAGAACGACAAAAAAAAACAACTTTATACCATCCATCTTTTTATCATCTATCATTTATCAGCTCGCGTATAAATTGGTAATTCATCATCTCACGCGTTTTATCGTTTTATTCCTTTTTCTCCATTGCCAAAAAGTTGAAAAGTCAAAAATAACTAATGCGTGAAATAAGAGGTTTGAACGTAAATAGTGTACCGATATTTCTCCCTGATTTCTCCACAAAAATCGAATGACACGAGGATGTGTGCGTCGTATGTCGTCTACGACTTAAATTTCCTGAAGATATATATCATCGGTTTTTGGGATAAAGCAGAAGCACGTTACTTCCTGCTCTACTTCTTTCTCCTATTTATTCTACATACTCACTTCTTGTGACGAATGGACCTTAAATCGATACGCTGTTCGTATTAATATTGCTACGTTTTGATGTAAAATTGAAACGAAAGGATTGTGTGAGTGGAATGATGTTTCCGCTTCTACATTTTGCTGTTATTTTTCTTACGAAAAATTATATTTCGTAGCTTAAAAATAATATCTGCTTTTACACATTGTAGTCTTTAATAACTTATTATTATTATTAAGTCAATCGATTTAACGATAATAAGTTATTAAAGACATATATATAAAATTTTCTTTTTACATATTATGATACATACAAGATATCTTTAAATAATAACCCTGTTTTTCAAATAATTTTACGTGACATAACGTAAAAGGATTTTTTATTTTATGTTGCAGGTGAGTCCAGAGCTCGTGTTACTTCTTTGACTAAGGTTATGTGAGTAACAATTCAAACCGGTATTTTTATCCGCCTCTGATAGCACTCATATTTTACGTCACTCAGGCCAAATACACTGCGCGTTCGAAGCGAAATTTGTTGCTGCATATAAAAAGCAATATTAAGTGGCATCGATGGCGAATATCGGTGATAAATTAAAACAGTTTTAGCGGCGCTTGATCGAAACGAAGGGCCATTACGATAACGAAGATTAATATTTTTTAATTAGTTCCGATATTATATGTGCATTATGCATTTCGCAGCCGAGCATAATATCGTATAAAAATATCAATTTAGCATAATATCTAAATACTAAATGTACACGTGTAAGGTAATACACGCGTAATCGCTATATGAAGCTTGTTGTATAAATTTCCCATTAACTCTGTATATTCGTTAAATGCATTTCCCCTGTTATATTGCCTAGCTCCATGTTGAAAATAGTCTTCTATATCGAGAAGAGATAAGAGGCTAAAGATTAGGAAAGCGCTTTTAGTTTCTCTCCCATGAGAAATGCGGAAGCCTTCTGTCGGAACGGCTCATATTCTTAACGTCAACGTGCGCAAAAACTCCGGCTTGGTTGACGTTGGCATGCAAGAGGAAATGGGTCACTTTTTCGGAGGAAATATCAAGTTTTTTTACGTTATGCTCAGCATTACGATTATCCCTGCCATGTGCGACAAAGCATTATACGTCGTTTATGACTCTCGCAGTCTATCGATTGCACACGCGACGATAATGGTAATTACAT